ATTGAAGAATTAACAAGTGTTTTTGTTCCCTTTTTTTTTTTTTTTTTTGATATAAAAATAAATTTCTTTCAAGTTTTATAAAGTTGTTACAAATTGGATCTGTATCTTTCTTAATGCAGGCACTTTAATTCAGGATAATCGGTAAGGACCCACTACTGGTAATAACGAAGATAAAGACACACCCTTACTACTCCCTAGTGTCGCTTTGATATCATTTTCCCTTTTGTTCCTCCTCAGCAACCTGGAAATGAACTCGACGAAAATATCAAACTTAAAAGAAAGAATTTTCTATATGGATATTACTATGTAAGTACATTACATATATCTATTTTATTAGTTTCATTTAAATCGTTTAAAATTTTCGTTACGAAATGGAAATTTGTTATAAATCGTATTACGACGATAATTTGTTAAAATGAAAATTTCTCCTTTCTTCCATAATACATCTTGAACTCTGTACTTTCGTTTTAATAATTATTTTTACAATCAATGGCGTATGTAAGTATTACTGCATCTGCAAAAAAAAAATGAAAAAATATTTTTTATAAATATTTTGAATATTTAAAAATCAAAAAATAATAAGTGCTAATAAAAATAAATAAATATCATAAATCATAAACAAAATTATTAATACTGATAATATATAAATGGAAAATTATAATCAAAAATTGATCCAACACGGAACGTGAAATGTTCATGAAAAATTCGAAACTATCGAATTCAAACGGTTATTTGTGAAGAACGCGTCTAAAAAAAGAAAAAAGATGAAAGAGTTGTATTTCACTGTCCAACCTATCACCTCGATCATTTCGACCGATTTGGTGAAAGGAGGAACGTTGCCTCGCTTGTGCCGGCGTGGAAAGGTGAGCTTCCACCTTTCCACTTGATGGGGGTGGTTTCTCGGTGATAAAGTGCAAGGAGAATCGCGCACGAGGTCACACCGACCGGCATCCCCATTGGCAGCCCAGTTTCAAGCTAGAATCGTGATTGGTCGAAGGTCGTGGGTCGCCTCACCTACCCTCTATCCAACGTGACCTCCCACGCGAACCCGCGAGATAACTACTACCCTTCCACCTTTTCCGGGTTTCGCTCACCGCTCACAGCACATCGGTTCATCCTTTCCCAGTTCCAACCTTTCTATCCTATCATCTTCCAAGTAATCGTG